GACTGGCATAGTGTTTGGCGGGGTTGTTGTTCCAGCTCTAGAATGATGTTAAATGTCCAGCTCAAGCCCTGCATTGGCAAGCGTATGCTTAATATATCTTATTATTATTTAAATTCTACTATCGGATAAATTAACAGTGGCTTATAAATTGTCTCAAAATAACTGATCTTAGGGAAGATGATCTTTCTGAGTCCCATCTGACTCATTTCCAAATGGAAAGTGTTATAAACTCTACAGGAGGACTGTGGGCAGGGCAGGCTGTGACAGTGCATGTGGTCACTGGTTCGCATGGTGAAGGTCTCTGGCCCAGCAGTCTTGCAGCACAGAAAACTTGTTGGAAATGCTCACTCCGGGCAGCAGCACATTTGCTAGGGCAGAACCTCGGGCTGGGGCCCAGAGGTCTGCGCTATACCAAGCCTGCCGCGGATTCTGATACGTGCCAAAGCTCAAGGCCTGCGGGGTGTGATGGAACTTTAAAGCACCAGCAGCACCTTTAGATTCTCTTGGTAAGGGATGGCGGGGGGGGGGGCACCCACATTAAGTAGTGGCCCATGAAGTAAAAAACCCTGCCTTTCAGCAGCTGAGAGTCATGGCTATTGTCATCTGGAACATACCCTGCTTGCTCGCTTACTCGCTCCTGGCTCATCTAAACAGCAAAACAAGGGCCCAGGGAACAGGAAGCCACGTGAAATGAATGTAATGGTCATTCGGAGGATAAAGAACCAGGAATCCTGAACCCCCAATTTGGCTCTAAACTTCCAGAAGACACAGCGGTCTTAGGTCAATTGTACTTGCTGCTCACTGTAAAAGTGAAGAGGAAATTGCTGAGCCTCGGTGAGTGAGGTTTTAAAAACTTGCTTTGGAAGCAGAACACAGAGGACCCCTCACCTGACACCATCAGGTGTGTGCTCCAAAGCCTGTGCTCTGGTCTTTTGTTTTTTTAAAATGTATTTGGTTGTTGCAGGGTCCCACTACACAGCGCGGACTTGTTAGTGATCCTCCTGCTTTCAGCCTCTCCAGAGCTGGAATTGTAGGTGTGTGCCACCACGTCTGACTCTGGCCAGCTCAGCCTGCCCTGAGGGCAGGGCTGGTGCAGCATGTGGTGCCAGGGATCAAACAGTGGTGCCTACATTTGCCTAAGTGGGTGCTTAGTCCGTTGAGCTATCTCACCCGCCGTGAGCTCTGCTCTCAAGCCAAGCTTAGAACCAAAGAAAGCAGTGGGAATTGTGTGTCCTGTGGGCAGCCTGACATTAGAAGCCCCTGAGTCCAGCTGACCCTGCTGCTTACACAAGAAGCTCTGCAGCCCAAGCAAGAGGTCTTGGCAGGCGGAAGGCCACCTGTTCTTCCTTTTCCTGCCTTAACTAAAGAGAATGCAGAAGAGAGGGATGAACTTAGGATGTGAGCCTCCATTGTTCCATTTTGTTGCTTCCACAAACCACCTTTTGTGCCTCTGTTTTATACTAGTGCAGAGTGGGGCCCACAGAGGTCAAGCAATTTGATCAAGGTCAGTCATGGTTAGCAATCGAGGCAAGTTTGACTGGAGATTGTCAGGTATGTGTTCCACCCACCACATCACCACAGACCAGACTACAGGGTTGCCAGGGCAGAGAGGTCACTGGGGGCAAGGCCACCATAACTGTCCTCTACCACTGCCAAGTCCATACCATAACCAAGAGGAAGTTTATCTTCTGGGCTGTGGGTAGAGCCCTAACAATCACCCCTTCCCATGACAACTCACAGAACTGCTTCTGACTGTGGTAAGGTAGAATAGCTCCATCCCCACTCAAATGTGTTTTCTTTCTTTCTTTTTTTTTTTTTTTTTTTTCAAAATGTGCTTTCTTGCTTGTCTTCTTGTTACTATCCCTGCTAGTTTTGTTGAAAACTCAAAAAGAAACTAAAAAAAGGGAATTGTCGAGCCTTCTGTGCCTTAAGCATATTCCCTGAATCCACCTTGTGTCATATTTATATTCTTCCAGTTCATTCATTAAAAATTTTGCCTTTAATTTTTAATCTCCTTGACTGGAAAGAGAAAGGACGATTGTGTGGCCCTGACGGGGGATGTGTCAAGAATTATTCGACATATTCTAAAGGTACTTACATGGTCAGGCAATTCTTGTGTAAGGCATGTGGGTGTGTATCCTATTCATGTGTGTGTGTATGCATACACCTAATTATATATGCAAGTATATATATGCAAGTGTATATATATTCAAGTATATATATGCAAATACATATATACATGCTTTTCCATTCCATGTGGGCAAATGGAAACAAAAATAATGCTCTTGATGTTTTTTCTGAAACACAGCACAGGAGAACCCATTAGAATCCAGCCTCTCACTACACTTATCTGTTTCTGGCTCAGCCATATTCACTAACTTGTGTTGCACACTCACAAACCCAGAAGTGGCAGCAGAAGCTTCCATGAGCCTTTGGTATTTACAACACTAAAAACAAATGCTGCAATCATGGAATTGTTCATGAGGGAATTAGTACAGTGAGCCCCTGAGCTCTGCTCTGACCCTGTCTCTGATAGCAAGTGTGTGTGTGCGCACACACACACACACACACACACACACACAGAGGAGAATTGTGCCCAAGAAATAAAGGAGTATTTTTGGTGGTCGGGCCTTGCCTGAACACACCAATGGCAGACAAAGGCTGAATTGTAAGGAGCAAAGACACACCTCTACGCTGACCTGAGCGCTGCTGGAGTTGTTTCCCAGCTGTGCACTCGCACTCGCCAGAGTCGCCCCTCTTGGGTGGTCCTGCTGGGATGAAATGCTTGTGTATTCCTCTGCGTGCAGGTCCGTCCAGGTTGAGAGGGGCCTGGTGCACTGTCCCGCATGGCCTGCTTCTGTGCCTGTGACCCTCCAGATCTCTCAGAGGCAGACTCCCATAAGTGGTGGAGGGGGCCTCGCCCACCTCTGACGATGTCCTGAGGCCCCTGGCAGCCATGTAGACCGTTCCAGCAAGAGGGAGAGCAAGACCCAGCAAGGAGATGAAGCTGTGGGAGAAGGCACATGGCCAGGCTTTCCTCGCATGTCACCAAAATAAGATGCAGAGAAAATCGGCTCATGAAGAGCAACACCACTGGCCTTGCGAGGTGGGGGTGGAAGGATACTGGGGACTGACCTCCTTGGCCTTCCCACTAGCAGGCTACATCCTCAGCCCTTTTCTGTTTTATTTTATTTTTTATTTTGAGACAAGCTTTTGCTAAGTTGCCCTGGGTGGGCCTGAACTTGTGAACTTGTGATTCTCCTGCCTCAGCAACCCTGCGTGGCGTTCAGTCTTCATTTAGTAAATATTTAGCAGTTTTCATAAAATGAAATGATATTTTAAGAACAAAGATAATTTAAAAATTCACAAAGGAAAATATGAGCAAATTTCACTCAACTCTTTAACACCAAAGAAGCAATGTGACTAAAGATTAATATGATTTTAAAAAGTGAATAAAGACCCAATTAACGTACTTGGGAAAAGGGGTGAAAAATGTAAAAGTTAATTCACGACAGAAAAATACAAGTGACATGGCCGGGGAGATAGCTCAATGGAATAAGCACTTGCCTAGCAAGTGAAAGACCCAAGTTCAATCTCTGGTTCTACAAAAAAAAAGAAAAATACAAGTGACAGACTTAGAGTAAGACTCTCCTTGCCAGCTTTTTTCAAATATGTAATGTAAACCAGTATATTTACCTTGCCAACTGGTGCCATTTTTTTTTTTCGAATGTATGTAGTACAGGGTCTACAGAGTCCCACTACATAGATCGGATTCATAGTGATCCTCCTGTTTTCAGCCTCCCAAGTGCTGGGATTATAGGTACGTGCCACCATGCCCAGTCTCAATTGCCATCTCAGTGTGCCCCAGGGGCGGGGCCTGCACAGCACTCTGGGGATCAAACCCCAGTCTGTGCATCTGCCTAAGCAGATGCTTTAATTCGCTGAGCTAATTGGCCAGCCCTGGTGCCAGTTTTTGTAACAGTGGCTTTGATGTTGGTGAGAAGGTGACAAAGTCCATTGGCTGCTCCTCCTGGGCAGTGGGAGCAAATTGCTCAGGTAAACAGTATCCAGTGACAAAGTTGTTAAGAGCCAGCAGTGCCATCAAATGTATCCTGAGGACTGGCCCAAAATGTGCACCAGAAGCAAAGTGCAAGGCTGTGCAGTGGGAGGGGCAGTGAGTCCTGAAATCTTGGACATGTTCATATGGCAGTGAGGCCAATGTCCTGATGCCTCGCATTTGGGTGTGGTCCACTCCCCCTGGGATGCTTCCAGCTTTTCATGTATAAGGTATATTGTGACCTCCCTGTGTCTCAGTGACCTCAGGCTCTTATACACAGTGCCATAGGCTAAGTGGCTTGCGAACAACAAAACTTGACTTCCCAGGGTTGCAGAGACTGGGAAGCCCAGGATCAAGTCCCCAGAAGACACAGGGTCTGATAAACACCCACTTCCTGGTTCGTGCACCTGCTTATTGACTTCACATGGTAGAGTGGGCTGAGGAGGTCTCCAGGATCCCTTGTATAAGGACTGGTCCTGTTGATGGGGGCTCTAATCACCCCCAAAGACCCCACCTCCTAAGGAGGGATCTAAGTTTCAACATATGCCTTTGGGCAATGCCGGGCAAACATGCATCACTGGTCAGATATTGTTCAGTAGATCAAAGAAAATGGCTCAGTGTTGTTGCTGAGGGGAAGCTGAGATAGAAGAAACAGACAAACTCCTAGCGGAGCCCTTCAGATGCTCATACTCACAGACACAGGGCAGCAAAAGGGTCCAGGGGGAACAATCCAGCAGCACATCTGGCCACACTCCTACCAGCCAAGGAGGAAGAATTGGATGCAAAGAAGGCGAGGGAGGGGGCTGAGAAAGAAGTGTTTCTGAATCTTAAAATATCTACCAAGAGAAAAGGAAGCTGTGTTAATATTTTAGTTTCTAATAACATTTTACACTTTCACATGGGCTTTCCTTGTATTTCAAATAAAGCATTGACATTGAAAAGATAAACTGGCTTTTAACACAGGCCAGCCCTCTAGATCCATGGACGGAAGCAACCTTAGACTGAAGATGTTTGAAAATTTTCACTTCTGTATTAAACATGTGCACTTCTTTCTCGCTGTCATTTCCAAGGCAATACAGTATGACAACTATTTACATAGCACTATGTAATATAATACCTAATCTAAATGCTATGTGACTAGTTAATGATTGAAAGTATACCAGAGGATGTACCTAAGTTATATGTAAATACCATTCCACTTACAGAACGGCCTTGAGCATCCATAGATCTGGGTACCGTTGGGAGGGGCCTAGGAATGCACATTCCTGAAAGTTCTCCATAAGCGCCCTGGAAACCAGGACCAGGTACCTCAGGAAGGTGTGAGGCTCGGTGGGTTCTTAAGGCAACAATGCCAACTACGAAAAACAAGCAATGCCGCTGCTTTTTAAGTGCATACTAGATACGAGGCATGTTCTGTTCATTATTTCTGCTCTTTGAACAACCCTGCAAGGAACTACTTTTTGCCTTATTTTATAGACAGTGAGAATTGACCTCAGATAAGTTTAGGAATTTGAGCTTACAAGCTAAAAATACAGGTTCTCTGGTTTGGGATCCTGAACTCATCCCTTTTGATGCAAGCCTGGGCACCTCACTTAATATCTCCATGACTCAGTTCCCCTCACCTCAGTAAAATGGGGAGAATACTGGTACCTACCTCGTGGGGATGGTGTGGAATTAAACGGTGCAGTCATTGTAAAGTACATAGTACGAAGTCTGGCACATAGTAAGAGCTTAGTCAATGTCAGTAATGTTGCCTCACCCACTACTCCACAAAGATTAGGCTTTCAGCCAAGAGGTTGGGGTCAGCTGCTGTGGGGCCAAGCAAGTCATTTCACCTGTCTGGGCCTCATTTCCTCGTCCCTGTAACAAGCGCTGGGTACAGTAGAACAACATCCCTTTCACCTCCAACCTCACTGTTCCCAGGAGTTGGGAGCCTGAGGGTTTCCAAAATGTCCAAATAGGCTGCTAAAAGACTAATATTACACAATTAATTTTGATTCTCAACTGCAACGTGGCAAGGGCGGAAACAAGGAAGAGAAGGCCTCTGCATGTTGCCAGCCCTGGGCAGATGTTCAGGTCCCCCCGGGATGTGATGGCAGAATTCTTCGTGGCTCAGTTCCCTTGGCTTTGAAATGATGCCCCTGGAGCTCCTTCCTGTTTGTATGCGTTTGTATGCGGCTCTCCCAAATCAACTGCAGCCTGAAGCGAAATACACTGAGCAACACCACATGGCTGTTCCCGTTAGAATTTCTATTTCTAATTTTAAAGGAAACAACCAGGACTGTTTTCTCCTCCCTTCCCCTCCCCTTCTCTCCCCTCTCCTTTCCTTTCTTTCTCTGTTCTCCTCAGCTTCCAGGCAGTGTGCTTCAGGCCTCTGGAGCCAGCTGCAGGGAGAACTGAGCAGCTTCCTCCCAGGTCTGCTGTGCTAAGGCTCCACTCCACCACCTGGTGACTTATGCTGTGTAGACCCCTGTTCTGTGAGGCCACAGCGGCTGTACCACTGCTGTTGTCTTTTAACTGAACAGCTAACATGGGAGGCCACAGGGAAATCCAACCCGGATATGAAAAGGCTGTGTAATGCAGAAGGAGATTTTTAAAATGTATCTTTGGGCCTTATTTGCAACAAAGAGGGACAACAGAACTGGGAATTATATATATATTTTTTTTCTCAGATTAAATTCCCTTCATCTTAAAGTGTTCTTAAAAGTGTCATTTGTGTTCATCGGATTTCTCCCTGTCTACGCAGCACAGACTTGCTGGCACCTTGAAAATGCCCCCTGGCTGTCTTCCCAGTCTCTGAATCTAAACGTGGGAGCTGCAGGCGTAGGCACTAGGGCTAAAGGTACAGAGAGTCACAGTAGCTAAGGCAGAACGCTGGGGCTCCCTTCTGAGCATGGAGCTGCTTGCAGAGGAAGCTGAGGGACAAGGAGACCCAGGGCCTTGTCACTCAGGTGGGTCAGTCTGGAGCTGGCGATTCCTTCCTCCTGCAGGTTGACATTCTTGGACTGCAAAGATGTGATTTCCCACAATATGACTTTTCCAGCTCCATCTAGCTCTACAACCGGAGCCACTTTGCAGTGTAGCAGTGACTTAGGAACTTGAAGCCAGAAAGATGCTGGCTGTTTTATGAGCACTGTCTCTGTGTGTGCATATATGTTTCTGCATGTGCATGTGTACAAATATGCATAGGTGTAGGTATGTATATGTGCATGTCTGTGTATATATGTAACTGGGTATGCGTATGTGTCTAAATGTGTGTGTGTTTCTATTTGTAAACATCTATATCTATATTTCTATATCTATACATCTGAATTTATATCTATATCAACAGGTCCTCAGTTCTGGGGGACAGCTCCTGGCCCTCCTTTCCCTCTCCTCACCTTCCCACATCTGTACCTGCATCTTCAGGGGCATTGAAGGCATGAGTATAAACAATCTCAGTCCTACCTCCTACCTCATCTCCACCCCAGTCATGCCTTAACATATCTGGGAGAGAACCCTGAGGTCCTTCATACTCCAGCCAAGGTCCAAAAGAGAAGGAGCAGGCTCAGGATAGGTAAGGTTCCTTGGAGCTGCAAACTTCAACCCATGGGGACAACCCAGCCAGAGGAACCCCTTCTTAAAGGATGCAGCCCAGACAAGGACCTTCCTGGCTTGGTCCAAGTGTGGCACTGTGGATTCCACTCCCCCATCCCTCCAGAGCATGTACCATGCCTCATGTTGACCATGTGACCCCACAGAGCCTAAGGGTACTGTTGGGAGGATAACAGTGCAGAGCTGAACCCTGGGTCTCCAGAAGCAACTTACTAGGGGCTATACAAAGACTTAGTAACTCACTGTCCTCACAAAGGCAGCCCTGGGGCTCACCACGTGGCCCAGACTCTCAGGATGAGGCTACCATGATGGTTGGATTTTCTAGGCCTGCCCAGCCTCCCCCAATATCAGTATCTGCAGAACCCCAAAGATGGATGGGCCCAGCAATCCTGCAGATAAACCACAGCCCAGTTCTAGATTCTTCATAGTCAACAAAACCAATCTGAAGGCCATGCCTGTTCAGTCAGCTCTATGTGTCCACACTGTGCCAGGTTTCAGGTATACACAAGGAAATACGAAGCTATTACTAGTAGTCTTTATTCAATCTATTTCTCACCAACTTCTCACCCAACTCACCCCACACACCCTTTAAACAAGGCCAGCCCAAGCCGCTCAGTTAAGTTCCCATGTCACAACTTCCCTCCCCAGCTCTCCAAACCCCTCAGATTACACAAGATGTGGCCAAACTAGACAGTGCCAGGCCTGTGATATATCTTTTAAATTCTAACACCCAGGCCACATTTTCCCACTCTCCCCTAGTACTCAATCTGAGATCAACCATTTATTTTCTGATACTTTTCCTAGTAACTGAGGTTCATATACTTTCCCTACTAAATTATAGGTTTCACAAAATGAGTGACTCAATTGTTCGGGGCCTCCCAGCATAGCATGTCATGTCTCATACAAAGCCCTGATATAAAATTTCTCAGTCAATACTGACTGAATTAAACTGAGAATAGACTAGACTAGAATAGAATGGAATTGAATAGAATAGGATGTTCTTTGAAATGTTTTGGGTTCCTTTTGAATCCTTACCAAGAAATGCGCTTCTGTGGATAAGCCAAGGATTTGCTATTAAACACTGCCAGTTGCAGGCAGCACTGGGGAATCCATAGGAAAGAGAGAGCTGTGGGGCAAGCATCCCCTGCAATGCCCCCACCACTGTTCCACTAGAGGGCTGAAAATTCAGATTATAACAGATGCAGCAAGGTGAAGTTAGCTCAGTAGAGAGCAGCAAGAGGTCAGCGTGCAGTTCATTATAAAGGACTGTTACACATGGACTCCGGGCAGCTCAGAATGCGAGATGGAGCAACGTGGTCACCATAAAATGTACCAGGACTCCTCAAGGGAGCCCTGGGAAATGAATATAAAATAAGTGGCACTGAAGTGCATGGATCTAAATTTTTAAGGAAATAGACTAAATTTATATTTCAGAATGGTCCTACCAATAGTTGATCTAAGCCTCCACACCCTGAAGTGACACATTTTTATTTTGTTTGGGAGACTCATAAAATCTGCTGAGTCCCCTGCATAGCATCTGTGACAGCCCCTGGGGAGGGCTTTGTCCCAGCCTCTAGCCACAGGCAGCACATTCCACTTGTCCAGGGTCCCTCCCCCTCAATGTCGCAATCACCTTCTTTGGGCCTATTTGGATGCCTCAGCTCTGGCAGCCTCTGAGCAACATCTGTGCCAACAGCGGCCACCTGGCACCGCCGAGCTGGTCATCCGCACATCTGTAGAGGAAATACTGGCAACTCCATCAAAAAGCTGTAAGAAATAGCTGACAAATCCCTTCCAGATGGGCCTTTTCCTCCTGGGCAGAGGCTCTGGTTTTACCACGGCCTATATGCTGAAGCTAGGGAAAAGCCTTGGCCTCAAAGACTGAATTCCACCAGTACAGCGTCTCGACTCCCTCTCATTTTTTTTCAATTTCCTTTTCCCAGTGCAACTTTCTCAAAATGTGCCTTTACTACAGGAATTATTACCAATGTAGCATTTCATTCTAATGGAAATTCTAGCTAGCAAGGTTAGCAACAGCCAGGATGATAGAGGGTGATTTTTTTTTTTTTTTTTTTT